TATCAATTTTAAATATCTTCCTCTTTTACAAGAGTGGAAATTTGATAAACTCTTTGACCTTGAACCCATCGTTTACCATCAACTTGTTCGTATTTTCTATTCTAATGCCGTTTGTGTTAAAAACCAAACTGAAACTGAAACCATAGGAATTCGTTCCTACCTTCTAGGACAATTCTTATATATTGACTCGGCTTACATAGCCAATACATTCGGATTAGATAATGATGGGATTTCAAATGAAAAACAGGTTTTAGTATCTCGTTATAAAAGAAGGGATAGTGCAAGTGTCCTAGACCTTCATTAACGTTTTCTTCATCTAATGATTTCTTGGTGGTTTCGACCATCCGGAGGTCGTTATTCTACTCTTAGAGCCTTAGATCTTTGGTGGTTACATTGTTTCGAAAACAATATTAAAATCAACCTACCTCAGATTATTTTTGTTGAATTGTTGAAACCGTAAATCTTGTTCCTAACAAAAAACTCTGTTCATCTCTTGTTTACGGTTGCATTTTGAGTAATCTGTTTTCCAAAGCTGGGCTTAGAGTCGGTCTAGATGCCGTTTTTCCCCTTAAGAAACAAATTAACCTTCTTTCCTTAACGAGAGCGGGATGGATTAAGGATAAGGAAACCGGTGAATGGGTTCGATCTTCTGCAAATACTCCGGGAGCTAGTTCTTCACAAGCTCCACCCGAAGCTGACGAAGATCTCGAGCTTGAGCAATTAATGCGAGACATCGATGAAGCCGAAGATGAACCTGAGCAGCCCGAGGAGCAGCCCGAAGAGCAAGCACAACAAACACATCCAATGCCTCCATATTTCCAATCCTTTATAGAGACATTCGATTTTCGATACGCTACTATGGATTCGCACTTTACTTCTATAGAGTCCCATTTATCCACAATGGGAGCTCAACAATTAGAAATTCTTCGGGAAATGCGTGCAAATAATGAAGCAACCAACGCACGTATTAATGACCTCACTAACGAAACGACCGCTATGCGAGCTCGTTTTCCTTCTCCTGATCCGGATATGTGATTCAATGTTTTGCTTTGAACTCCAAACTTGTTTTAACATTTTGAATATTTTGGAATGTTTGAATTTATGGATTGATTGACTTTGAATTTGTTTGGATTTATGAATGGTGAGAAATTATCTATTTGGTGTGATTACATTTATTCATTATTGCATCATTTACTTCATGATTAGATATATGACCAATTTTGCCATTTCACATTAATTATGAATATTGATTACGAAACTAATGGCTAACGTTTCTCTTGCTTGTGATCTTAGCAGCTTATATTATATATAATCAATTGGCTAAATGATTTCAAAACCTTGTTTAAATTCTTTAAAATATCTTTTTGATTTAACAAAAAGGGGGAGAAGTGTTAAAGTAAGGGGGAGAGTAATTTCAAAACTTGATTTCAAAATCTTAAAATTACTAAAATGTTTTGTTATATCAAAAAGGGGGAGATTGTTGAAAATATTTTGATATTTCGATATAACAAATTAAGTTAAATGAATTTTAAGATTTTCCAAACGATTTTCTAAGTATATTCGATAGAATTATTCGAATATCAAAACATTACTCTAAATCTTTCAAAGATCATTTTTAATCCTTACTCAAAGTGTAAAATTAAGTTTTAATCTTAAAACAATTTCAAATAATTTTACAAAGTATTTCGAACATTTTAAAGCCAAAAATTCCAGATTGCTCAGAGGGAACCGATTCCCCCCCAAGGGGGTACCGATTCCCCCCTAAATGGTTTGGCTCCGAGAATTTTAGTATGCTCGGAGGGAACCGATTCCCCCTTGTATAACGGTCGAAATATTTGAATTTTACACTTAGGGAACCGATTCCCCATAGGGGGTACCGATTCCCCCTACGCTCCAAGCTGTTTTATTAATTATTTTCACACTAAAACGGCTATATGATCTTCACTAATCATCCCCAACGTTCAGAAGTGATTCAAGGTGTATTTAAACAAGTTCTGAAGCCCTTGATCAACAAGAAATTATAGAGAAACAAGAGAGAAAGCATCAAACACCAAGTTTGTGCAAATCAAGCCAATTTTCCTTTCAATATTCATTTTGCTTTCAAGAACACCATTTGTGCTCATTTGTAATTATCTTTGAGTGTTCTTTTCTTGTTCTAGAATTGTGCAAACATCTTATCTTGTGAGGTTTTCCTTGTAAGTTTGCAAATTTGTAATCTTCTCTTTGGGAAAGAGTGTTCTCAAGAATTGGGGTATATTCTTGAGGGTGTTGTAAGGTTATCTCTTTGGCCTCAAAAGAAAGAACAAATTAGTGAATTTGTTTGGAAAATCCTTAGTGTGGATAGCTAAGGTAGTGGACGTAGACTTTGATTGAGAAAGTCGAACCACTCTAAATCGCTGTGCAATTACTTTTAATTTTCTGCAAAAGCTTCCACCAAATTTTTAATTGCCAATTCACCTCCCTCTTGGCAAATTCCGTCAATCAATTAACTCAACACATACCCTGAAGAACAGAGAGGTCTAATCCACCGAAGAAGCATTACTTTGAAGTGAGGACCATCATACGTAGGAGAAAAAGCAAAGATTCTCGTGTATGAAGAAGTGAATCCATCTTAAGCCTTCACTGAAGAGTAGTGAATCCATCTTAAGCCTTCACTGAAGAGTAGTGAAGCAAATACATCCTAAACCTTCACCGAAGAGTAGTGAAGCAAATACATCTTATGCCTTCACCGAAGAGTAGTGAAGAAAATCCATCAGTAAGTCTTTCGAGTATGATGATGAAGTCTTTCGGGCCATCAGTAAGTCTTTCGAGAATGATGATTGAATAATTTTAGTAATTTGTAAGTCTTCACGGAAGAGTAGTGAAGCAAATCCATCAGTAAGTGTCATCAGTAAGTCTTTAAATCCTTCGGGTAATTTGTAAACCTTCACGGAAGAGTAGTGAAGCAAATCCATCAGTAAGTGCCATCAGTAATTCTTTCGAGCATGATGATGAAATCATTCAGGACATCAGTAAGTATTTCGAGCATAATGATTAAAACCTTCGGGTAATTCATAAGTCTTCACGGAAGAATAGTGAAGCAAATCCATCAGTAAATCTTTCAAGCATGATGATTAAACCTTCGGGTCATTTGTAAGTCTTTTGAGCAAGATGATAAGTCCTTCGGGCCATCCATAAGACATTCGGGTAGGATATTTTCACACCATAAATTAGTAAGTCTTGTAGGCCATCAGTAAGTCTTTCGAGCATGATTATGAAATCCTTCAGGTCGTTTGTAAGTCTTTCGAGTAAGATAATAAGTCATCTGGGCCATTTTAAGCCTTCTCGGAAGAGTGTTGGAGCAAACCATCAGATCATCAGATGTGGGAGGAAAGTGAAGGTTCTCGAGTACAAAGAATTGGATCAATTGATTAAAAGGAAATACGCACGATGAGTCATTAACCAATTCAAATTCCTAGGAAGAGAGAGGTTTAGAGGGCAGTTGAGTCCAGGACGATTCTTATATCTAGTTGTTGTAAGACAAGCTACCGTAAGAGAAATGGATTATCAAAGATTCTCTTAAATTCTAAATTTTTCGAGTATTATATTTTTCAAATCTTCAAGCATACACTAATTAGTGGTAATGTTTGATTTTCAGGTCTGACCTTCAAAGTTGAGCCTTCATGGAAGAATAGTGAAGCAGAATCACACCAGAAGATTGTTCAAGTTCTACTCCCTGAAGCAAGAGGGAGCGAACTCGTTGGCAGAAGATGTTCGAGTTCTATACTCCCTGAAGCAAGAGGAAGCGAACCCGTTGACAGATGATTGTTCGAATTCTACTCCCTGAAGCAAGAGGGAGGGAACCCGTTAGCAGAAGATTGTTCGAGTTCTACTCCCTGAAGCAAGAGGGAGCAAACCCATTGGCAGAATATTGTTCGAGTTGTACTCCCTGAAGCAAGAGGGAGTGAACTCGTAGGCAGAAGATTGTTCGAGTTCTACTCCCTGAAGCAAGAGGGAGCGAACTCGTAGACATAAGATTGTTCGAGTTCTACTCCCTGAAGCAAGAGAAAGCGAACCCGTAGGCAGAAGATTGTTGGAGTGAACCCGTTAGCAGAAGTTGTTCGAGTTCTACTCTGAAGCAAGAGGAGCAACCCAAGAATTTTCGAGTTGTACTCCCTGAAGCAAGGGAGTGAACTCGTAGGCAAAGATTGTTCGAGTTCTACTCCCTGAAGCAAGAGGGCGAACTCGTAGACATAAGATTGTTCGAGTTACTCCCTGCAAGAGAAAGCGAACCCGTAGGCAGAAGATTGTTCGAGTTCTACTCCCTGAAGCAAGAGGGAGCGAACTCGTAGGCAGAAGATTGTTCGAGTTCTACTCCCTGAAGCAAGAGGAAGCGAACCCGTAGGTAGCATTTGTTCGAATTATACTCCCTGAAGCGATAGGGAGCAAACCCATTTTCAGAAGATTGTTCAAATTCCATACTCCCTGAAGCAAAAGGAAGCGAACCCATTCGTAAAAGAATGTTCGAGTTTTATACTCACTGAAGCAAGAGGGAGCGAACTCGTTGACAGAAGATTGTTCGAATTCCATACTCCTTAAAACAAGAGGGAACGAACCCGTTAGCAGAAGATGTTCGAGTTTCATACTCTCTGAAGCAAGAGGGAGCGAACATGTTGGCAGAAGATTGTTCGAGTTCTATACTCCCTAAAGCAAGAGGGAGCGAACATGTTGGCAGAAGATTGTTCGAGTTCTATACTCCCTAAAGCAAGAGGGAGCGAACCTACTGGTCGAAGATTGTTCAAAGAAGAGAGCATATCCCTCATCAAGTTTTAAAGCACGAAGATGAAATTGGACAAAAATTAGTTGTCTTTTTCGTCTTTTCCCTATTCTTGTTAACACAAGAATACGCAAAGAGGTACAACTGTAAACACCCGTTTTTGATCAGGATTAAAAAATATTATAACTATTAATTATATATTATTATTAATAATTATATTTTACATTTGCAAGACAAAGCCTAATATAACATCACCCGAAGCCCAACAAGATGAGCCCAAATACATTAACCCAGTGACCCAACCCAGTGAATTTAGGATTTTCTAAAATCCTAATATTAAAGCAAGTTGCTACCATCTTCAACAGTTGCCATACACCAACTCAAGCCAAGTCACTGCTGAGCCATTCTCGCCACCAAATCTGTACCCAATAGCAAAACAGAAACAAATCATCCACTAAAGTCAAAGATAAATCCCCAACCTAATTTCACCTAAACCAATCATTATACTACCAAATAACAAAGAAAAATCAACAAGATGATAAGTAGGATTCGGTAGAAAAATATAGAAAAGGGGAAGGTTCGGAAGGGTATTTTCAACGGGGGATTGTTAAAACGAGAGGAAATAATTGTATGGAAAGGGGGGAATCAACAACAAACGACGAGAGGAAAAAAAAAGAAAGAACAAGCAAGGGACGAAAAGGAAACTTTGTTCTTGTAATTAGGGTATTCTGAAACCCACATAAACAATGTATTAGGGGTCATTCCCTATATTTTTCGCAATATTAATTGATTAAGGTAATTTTCTTACTCATTTTCTTTTTAGCGTGGTGTGTATGCTTGTATTATGTCGAAACTAAAAAAACAAGTAAAGAGAAGGTCAAGCCTGAGGAGGTGCGCGCGCCGTTGGAGCCTCGTGATCTCCGTTTTGTACCTATCAGTGTTGAAAAAAAAACGTTAGCAAACCAGAACCCTAACCGATCAGCCATCGACAACCAGAGAGTCTATAAGTCAGTAGCAACCAAAAAATATTGAAATGAAAAACATTGAAAAACCCAAATATCCCGCTGTTTTATGAACCATTTTTCATCTAACAGAAACATCACCTAAAAGAAGAACAAGCTTACCTTTACCATCCAGAGAAACTCGTCACCGATGCTAGAAGAAAAAATTTCGTTCGGTCGAAGGGATGAGCAGGCTTAGGAGAGGAAATAGAGGAGTCGGGGTCTTCTAGGTCATAATTTGGAGGTTTCACTGACCATGTGTAGTAGTTTGGATGACCGGTGATAATAGTTTGGGTTATCACCAAGAGAAAGAAAGAGGAAGACCATGAGTTTCGAAACTTTCGGTTTGAGAAGGGGAAGGAAGGTTTGAGAGAGACTTACCTTCACCATGCGTGTTAGCGCGGTAGCCTGCCAAGCCTCGACGAGCAGTGGGATCTTGATGTACAGCCGTCGTTCGTGAAAGGAGAGAGTGAAGGGAATGGAGAGGAGTATTGGTGGCCGATGTGGGTAGCCTTTGAGGCTCTCGGTCGTGGGAAGAAGAAGAAATGAATAGAAAAGGGAGATGAGATGAGACGGCTGTGTGTGTAAGTTTAGTCTAGGTTAGTGAAAAATAGGATTTTATATTAACTTATTAGGGTTAATTACTTTAAGGTCACTGAAAGATTTCAGCATATGTATACTTTAGTCACTAATTTCATAATTTTCGTGTTATTTCAGCTTTTTGGTCCTAATTGTGTAAATATTTTTATATGTTTGTTCTTAGACCATCGGGTAATATTAGGTTCTAATCCCATTACATCATCCTCACATCGTATGTATCCATACATGCATTATCATATGCCATGGGCTTTGTATTGCGTGCAGTATATCATTTGTATGCATGTCAATTGGGTTTTGTATCTTATATATTATGTACATGCAGCGGATGTTTCTTATAACTTAGGCATATATATATATATAGTGAACTGTCATTTCGTAAATGATGTGCGTATATATATCTATATCTATATATATATATATATATATATATATATATATATGTTTTTATAAGGAATCATTAAATGCCCTAGTATATAAAGGCCTTGTTTTGGTGAGTATGTTTTTTGATTTTAAATTTAGTTGTATGACATCATCTTTGTAAAATATATGTTATCTTCATGTGTATAACTCGACCTAATTACATAATTGGATTAAGGGTAATACCATTTTAATTTAAAATTGTTTGGATGGTTTGTCTTAACTCACTAGAGAGTCGTTTTTGACGATTTTAAATTAAAAATGTATCACATTATTGACACTTAAAAAATGGTTCGTCACCTTAAAATTTGGAAATGAAATAAAAAGAAATATTCAGTTATTTAATTTTTTCGAGAAAAAGTCCTTATAACTTATTTAAGATCTGGTCTCGATATTTTTAAATAATTGAATATTCTTCATCTTTCTAATAAGGCTTGGTAATTTTAATTTAATCTATTTTGGTGCATGTGAATATTATAATGGAATTCTAATATTTCTTTATTTCGATTGAAGCAAGAGTTAATTACCTCAGGTTATGAGGGATTTATTTCTTCTCAATATGAAATAAATTAATATTATTAAATTTCATGGTAACGTTCATATTTTGGTTGTTTTATGGGATCAAAAATAAATTAAATTTGATTTCGTAAATTTCATTGTAAATACATTAATTAATCGACTTGGTACCGATTTAGGGCGTTGTGGGGGGTGTTAATCTTTCCCCACGCGTAACCGACTCCCGAACTTGGATTTTGGCAACGCATACCATAATTTTCCGTTTTATTTAAAATAGCAAAACATTTTGGGGCACCCAATCACATCATAATCAAATATTGGTGGCGACTCCTCGAACCATACGTTTTTTATTTTTAAAAAGAATCCCAAATTTTTCAAAACCAGAGGTTTTCTAAAATCACATTGTTTTTAATTAAAATTTAATCGTAAAAGAGTAATTAAAAATGGTGTGGCTTTCAAAATCCCACTTTAAGAAAAAAATCGTTTCGACAGTTCTCTCTAGTACTTTAGTACAAATAACTACTTATTGAAAAAGAAACGATTTCAACACCAATAACATACTTTTAATTTGAGTGCAAATCCTCCACCAACTACTCGCATACATCTTTTCATTTAACCCAACTGAACAACTATTCACTCCACTTATCAAACTACACTCTTATCCATACACAATATGATTCCCCTGTTTCAAGTTCATAAGCTCTGGCTTTATCTATCTGATAAACTTATCATCGAGATGCTTATTACCAAACTCTTCGTAACTAATAACCATATCACTGAATCTTCTATCATTATCATGATAACATCTGTTTACTATACTTCAACTCATCCACATAGTAACTGATCTACTTCATCTAACTTCTCCACCTTCAGACAGTGGAGGCCCTTTAACGTTATTTTAACATCTTTCACTTTCTGAAAACAATCTTTAATTATCTAAATCATTTCTTGAGGTATCTACTCTTTATCCTGCCTGGCCAGGGCAGGTGAATTGCTATCACCATCAGGTCTATCACCTATTGATTCACTTCGACAATTCCTATAATCAAATTTCTACTATATCCTATTAATCTTATTCTATTAGCAAGACAATACACTCCTTACAATATCATATCAAAAAAATTTCACTTTATGTTGGCATGTACACATTTTAAAACTTTGTTGAAAACATTTTTGTATTTCGATATAACAAATTAGTTTAAATAAATTTTAAGATTTTACAAATGATTTTCTAAATATATTCGATTCAATTAATCGAATATCAAATTATTACTCCAAGTCTTTTAAGATCAATTTCAAACCTTACTAAATGTGTAAAATTGTGTTTTATACTTAATATATTTTTGAAACAATTTTTACAAGTATTTGAACAAAAAATCAAGCCTAAAATCAATTTTTCAGAGTGATGCACCGATGCACCAATCCATGCATCGATGCACCATGAAATAAATTGAACATCGAATGCATTTCATGCATCGATGCACATACCATGCACCGATGCACTGAGGATTTTATGAAAACATCGAATGCATTTGATGCATCGATGCACCAGCCATGCATCGATGCACTCTGGCTATGTTGAAACATCGAATGCACTTGATGCATCGATGCACTCTTAGTGCACCGATGCACTAAGGGTCCAACGGTCAAAATATTTGAATTTTACACTGATGCACCGATGCACCATGGGTATTCATCGATGCACTGATGCTCCCAATTGTTTTTAATTAATTGTTTTCACACTTAAACGGCTATATTGACTCCACTAATCATCCCCAACATTCATAAGTGATTCAAGGTGTATTTAAGCAAGCTTAGAAGCCATTGATCATAACAAGAAACATCAAGCAACTAGAAGAGAGAATCAAAGAGAAAGCATCAAACCTCAAGTTTGAGCATTTCAAGCCTATTTTTCATTCAATATTCATTTTGCTTTCAAGAACACTTATTGTGCTCAATTGTATTCTTTCTTGAGTGTTCTTTTCTTTATTCTAGAATTGTTCAAACAATCTACCTTGTGAGGATTTCCTTGTAAGTTTGCAAATTTGTATTGTTCTCTTTGGGAGAGAGTGTTCTCAAGAATTTGGGGTATAATTCTTGAGGGTTTGTAAGGTTGCTCTTTGTCCTCAAAAGAAAGACAAATTAGTGAATTTGTGGAAAATCTTTAGTGTGGATAGCTAAGGTAGTGGACGTAGACTTTGGTTGAGAAAGTCGAACCACTCTAAATCGCTGTGCAAATTTCTTTCAATTTTCTGCAAAAGCTTCAACCAAAATTTTAATTGCCAATTAACCCCTCTTGGCCATATTTGTCAATCGATTAACTCAACAATTGGTATCAGAGCCTAACTCATTTGAAGGTTTAATCGTCTCTTGAGTCGATTCGGGAAGAGTTACATCGATAATCAAAGTCATTAATGGCCTCTACTTCAAACTTCGACTCTGGTCTCGATTCGATGCCCGTCAACAAGCCTCTTTTCTTCAATGGGGCTAATTATGCCTATTGGAAAAATAGGATGATGTACTTCATTCAAGCAAGTGACATGGGGGCATGGAATGTTGTAGAAGAAGGATACTTCAAGCCTCTCACTCATCCAAGATTATGGAGTGAATGAGACAAAAATTCCAGCTCAACTCCAAGCCATCCATATAATATTTTGTGCTCTTGGACCAGATGAATACGGAAGATCTTGTACAACCACCAAGAATATGGGACAAACTTCAAGTCACTCATGAAGGTACCGATGAGGTAAAGAAATCTAAATTAGTATTCTAACGCATAGCTGTGAAAATTTCAGGATGAAACCAAAAATATATCAAAGCTATGACGGAGATTCTCAACGATTATCAATGGTCTCAAATCATATGGAGAGATCATTTCAAATGAAAAGCTTGTGAGGAAGTTAGTCTACTCCCTCCCAAAATCGTGGCAATCAAAGAAGATGGCAATCATCGAGTATAAGGATCTAACGTCCTTAACTCTAGAAGAGCTAATCGGTTCACTCCTCACTCATGAAATGATGCTTGAAGATGAGGTGGACCTTGATAAGATTGAAGAGACACCAAAGGAGAAAGATAAGAAGAAAAACATTGGAGTTGCTCTCAAATCCACAAAAAATGAGAGTGATTCGGAAGAAGATGACGAGGAAATGGCATTGTTTGCCAAACGGTTCAAAAAATGATGAGACCTTACCGAGGAAGAAAATTCAAACAAAATGAAGGCCTAAAAAATGAACCAAAAGAGAAGGACTCAATCATTTGCTATGAATGCAAAAAGTCGGGACATGTCAAATATGATTGCCCACAATTAAAGAAAAAGGGCCAATCAAAGAATAAGCACAAGGCTCATGTGGCTACATGGAGCGATGAAGAAGGTTTCGATGAAGAGGAACAAGAAGTAGCAAACTTGTGCTTGATGGCATTCGGGGAAGATTCTAAGGTAACCTCTAACTCATCTGATTTTGATGATTTATCCTATGATGAGTTATTAGAGGAATATAATGGGTTGGCTTCGGATTATGAGAAATTGTTTTTAAAATATAAAAAATGATGTTTCAAAATTGGAAAATGAAAATAAACTCATATCCAAAACCAACAACGATCTTGAAAGTAAAAGCAAAGATTTGCAAATCAAACTAGAAGAGTTTGAAAACAAAATTTTGGATTTGCAAAATTTACTTTCAAAGGTCAATGATGATCATCAAAAGTAAAATTGATGATCTTAAAACTTCTTTTGATAAAGTTGGAACAAAACGTTTTGAAAATGGAGAAAATTCAAAATCCAACTTTGTTAGAAAAAGTTTTAAAAATTACAATCATAGAGGTCCCCAAAGAACCTCTAATGGAAAAATCGTTAGAAGTATATGGGTTCCTAAAGAGCTCATTACTACTAAAGATAAGGATATCCTACACAAATGGATACCTAAGGGGACTAGGATTTTGGAAACTAATGAATATGGACCCAAAAGAATTTAGGTGCCAAAAATTAGAAATTAATCTATATTTGTAGGAAAAGGAGCATTGCTACAAGGCACGGGAAACAAATCC